TGATGATTGAAAATTTTGCAATAGCAAAAAAAAGAGAATGTTTAGTGAGGCTATTCGTAGAGAGATCAGGACATTTACCGACAGGAGAACCGACCTTCCCCAACGTGAGGGCACGCTGACGATTTTTACATTCATTTTTTCAATCCTGCTAACAAACGTGTTTTATTTTGATCTGAGATTTTTTTTTCCTACACGAGAATGTATGCCCCCTACTGTCTTTACATCTGAATGATTAATCGTTTTATGCCACAAAATACCATTGACATAGTTATAATGTTGTTAAATGGCGTAGAGTATACAGCTAAATTTACAGCTATCGATATGGTATCAGCTAGGATGTCGTCGTTTTCATTTAATTTCAGCTTTAGCAGGATGCTTTTTCGCCTTTTGTTTGTATTCGTAGTAAGACAAAACTATCTTGTTTTTTTTTTCAAGGAAAAAAAAAACATGCGCACTTCAGATTTTGTTGCTTTTTATTTATTTATTTATTTTTATAGTGCAATTAAAAAATATAAAGAAGATTACACGATTTCAGAGAAATTCGAGGATATTTGAGTCATATGGGATAAAAATTGGAGTTCTTCCTCAAAGAATTTAAAAGTTTTTGCAGACAATCAAAGAAATTCGAGGACTGTCCTTAAGAAGATTTGAGAACGCCGGGTCACCTAAGTATAATAGGATTAAATTAAACAATAACAGATTTAAAATTCCATGCGCACTTATGATTTTTATTTATTATTATTATGTTCTTTTGATATTTTACTGCAAATAAAGATTACATTTATCGGAGAAATTCGAGAATAGTTGAGGACATGTGATAAAATTTAAGAACATTGTCTGTCCTCAAAGAATTTTTAAAGTTTTTGAGGACAATCAATGAAATTCGTGGGCTGTCCTCAAGACTTGAGGACATCTGGTCACCTCATTACAGTGAGATTTAACTAAACAATACCAGATTTATAATGCCATGCGCACTTATTTTTTTATTTATAATTTTATTTAATATTTTACAGCAAATAAAGATTACATTTTTCGGAGAAATTCAAGAATATTTGAGGACATGTGATAAAATTTAAAAATATTTTCCGTCCTCCAAGAATTTAAAAATTTTTTAGAACAGTCAATTAAAATCCGGGCTCTGTCCTCAAAATTTGAGGACGCCTGCCCACCTAATCTAAAGAGATTTAATTAAAAAATACCAGTTTTATAATTCCAAAGAACGAATGTAAATAAGTATTTCGCATAAGGATGGGAATAACATGGTAGTCCAGCCACTGTTTCAAACCCCGCCCTTGAAATACAGAGGTGTGACATTCACAGATAGGCACATAATTTTCAAAAAGAATGAAGTGTATAACATCGAATTCACACTCATTCCCCCAATAGAATTGTCACAGAAGTCGACGGGGGACGAGGTTCAGCTATGTAATCGACTATCATTAAGGGATAAAGTTTCAAGGAACCACAATGTGGTCAGGTGTCCCCATCACAACTAATACAGACAGGTATTGATGACAAGAAGGGGTGCACGAGAAAAGAAAATGAAGATGTTTTCTTAAATAGAATTCAAAAACCGAAACATCCCTACTCGCTTGGCTGAGTTTCCAGAAAAACTAAATGAAGTCTCTTTGAAAACGATCAGGTCACATTTATCTTCGACTCTCAACCCCCCTTCCCCTTTAGAACAATTATTTGGTGTTTTCTGTAAAAAAGTTTGTTTAAATAAATGTTAAAACTTGCACGTTTTAAAGATAGGTAATTAAAATACGAATTCAATTATTACTAAAAAAAAAGACAACTTCTTATTATATATTTAAATTAATGTGTGAATATTTAGAAATTGCTCATGAAAAGTCAATTAAAAATAATTTTTTTAAAATTAATTTTAGGCATTACGTCCAAGTCAATGGATGATTTAAATATCGGCTCTGAAACTTTCGCTCAACGTTTTAAGTGTTGAATAATTTTTAGAGATAGCATTTAAAACTTTGCACTATATAGCATCGAATACTAACATAAAAAAAGAACAAAAATTAAAAAACTTAGTTAAAAAATTTTATACTAAATAATTTTTAGTGGCAACAGCTAAAATATATCTTATATTTCATTACTGTGGGCAATATAACTCCTAACAACTTGTCATTATTGTGGGCAATATAACTATTACAATAACTCATTACTGTGGGCAATATAACTATTACAATAACTCCTAAAACTATAAATTTAGTAAATTAATATTATAAATGTTTGCAGATAAATAAAAATTATAATGAGAGAATCAAAACTTTATCTATTTATTTATATTACGGTTACCTTAAGAAAGCTTTTAGTTATAACACTTAAATCATAGGCTAAATTTGATTATTGTTTTTAAAACCTAGTTACAAGAATACAAGTGTTAAATTTTTTTGTAATTTTTTAAAACTCCACATATTTGCGCATATTCATAACAATTGCTACTGAATGAAATCTGAATAAACTGTGCATTGACTAACTGTACAACACTTATTAAAAGAATAACACATTTAATAGTAGCTAGAAATATATAAATACGTATATATATATACTACATTATTTCTCTTATTGGATTTTAAAACTATTTTTAAAGTCTGATTTGTGCAATAGACCATTCATAAAAAAAAAAAAACTAAAACGATTCCGTGGAATTCTGTTGAAGAAAAATGACACCTAATTCTTCGAATTCAACTTAGACCGGCGAATTAGTTAAGTAGACTTAAATATAAGTATCAATATGTAGCATTAATGAAACAGGTGGTTTATGAATAACAGAATTCGTTTTTTCTTTCCTACATCTGTCTGATAGACGACGAAACGAAAGCTTGTTTATCCTTCGCGGTTTATCGACACTTTGCGGTTGATTCTCAGGTATTTCGGCTTTCCTCCTCATTTCGAATACCCCCTTCCCCTCCCATTCCCGCACGTGTGATTTTCTAGCTTACTCAGCATTTTCCAACATGATGGATACGTTGAAAAAGCTCATTTTTTTAGCATTTCGTATACCGTCTGAACGGCGACAGTTTAAGCTTAACTATTTAAGAGATTAAATAAAGAAGCAATAGTTTTAAGTGTTACAGTGTTCACTGATAAAGCTATCATCTATGCACGTTTGATATTAATGTCGAAATTTTTCATAATTCATAATATATTTTTTTTAAATAATAAATTTATAAAATTCACGATCTGCGTATATTTCATTTTTTAGGATAGCCATACGCACCTCTATAAATATTGCACATTTATTATCGAAATATGTACTAATTGATAATATACTTTTTTAAGTAATAAATTTATAAAATTCACAATTTAAGTATATTTTATTTTTTATAATAGCTATACGCTTCTCTTAAGCGTTTGATATTTTTGTCCAAACGTATACAAATTCATAATATATTTTTTTTAAATAATAAATTTATAAAGCTTACAATTCAATTTTATTTCAACCATTATAATAGTCATACGTTCTTCTGTTAACGTTTGATATTTATGTCGAAATATATACAAATTCATAACGTATTTTATTATTAATTTATTACATTAAAATTTATATTTAAATTTCAGTATTCTTTTTGATAATGGTAAAAGTTATTTTTGGAAAAAAAGTAGTTAATATAATTTAAATTAATAAATTTAATTCTTTCAAAATAATAATACGTAAAAATCCAAAACAAAAAAATGTTTTTAGAATAAAAATAAAACCAGCAACTTAATTTCTTTTTAACTTATACCACTAACCAATTTAAGCTTTAGTATTTTTTATGCACTCAAAAATTAAAAATTTATTTTTACCTCTACAAATAACACAATACACAAGTTAAAATCAAAAGGAATTTTCAAAAATAAGCATTCAAAACAAAGAATTGATTAAAAGGACATGTTAAAGGATTATTAAACTATTTATCAATTATATTTTATGCTGAAATTTTGTGTTATATAACTTCTGAATGCAGATTATTCGCTTCATTTTTTATGTAAATCACTTAATTTACTAAAGCAGAAAACTGTATTACCTCAATTTTTGAAGTAAAAAAATAAACTAATAAAAAAATTAAAATCATAATATTTCGATTCATTATCATATATAAATTTTCTATTAATTAAGGCTAAATTTATACAATTTAAGTTAAAGAATTTAGTTATATAAAAAATCAATTATTTCAATAAATCAAATATTTGCAATAAATACAATTTTAAAAATATTTTCATTAATTAGTATGTATTAATTGTTTATCTCTTGTGAATTGTATACTTAAATGATTAATTTTATATAAATCAAAATTTACAACTTATTTATACATCTTAAATTAAATAACATATAAATAGAAACTTTCCCAATAAAAATAAAGATTCATTAAACTTTATTAATTACGACGTATTGATATTTTTATTTATTGACTATTGTATACTTAAATGTTTATTTATATATTATTAATTTTATCAAATTATTTCTGCTTTATCATTTTATAATAAATAAAATAAAAGAGTTTTTTAAGTAAAATAAAATATTTAATTTTTATTAATTACTCAACATATTTATTTTTTATTGTCAATTGTATGCTGAATATTTCATTTTATTTTAATAAATTAAAAATTTTATTTTAAGTAATATTTAATATTCAACAAAATATATTTCTTAAATAATCTTATTTAAAAGTAAAAAGCTTACTACTTATTGCAAGAGATAAAACACTATTGCATTTTTTTTATCGACTATCATATATTAATCTTACGTTTATCGTCACTTGTATTGTTTGAATGTTTAAAGACATATAAATTTAATTTAAATACCAATCTATATCTTTTATGATATCTTCTAATTTATAAATATAAAGGAACTTTCTCGATAAATTAAAGAATTAGAATGATTAAAATATTAATTTCAATGTCTTTTTATAAATTCTTTGATGTAGGATGCAATACTTCATTTTTGGATGCAAAATAATGACAGAGATTGCAAATAAATAATAAAAAAAAAAACTTACCTGAATATTAACATGTGGCATTAAAAAGTAACCATGGAGACACAAGTCTCCTCATGGAACCTCTGGCACGCATTGAAAATTTATAAATCGAATTCACGTGAACAATCCTCCTGTTTGCACGCAGAGAATACTAGAATCCACATACATCCAATAAAGTACACAATTTGACGAAAAACACAAAATTATCTTCAATCCACAGGTCTTTTATTTCTCTATAAAATCTCTCTTGCTTTTTATCAGTTTGATAAACAAATAAATAAAAAAATTATTATTCCTGCATACCACTATTTTCTTTATATTATTTCGAACTTATTCCAACAAAAGCGCTCCTTTTTAGCCGCAGCGCGGAGAGCGAAGAGATGAAATATGAAAGGAGATTCACTGTGTGTTCACGATTCCCGCTTATGTTAGTTGAAGTCTGAAATAATCACTATTTCTCGCCGGCTATGCTTGTTTTTATTCGCTTTCGTGTCACGTGGTCTCGTACTGTTTGCCAATCGGAGGTGAGTACCGAGTGTTTGGCGCTAGATGTTCCGTTTTTCTCTTTTCACGCACGCTTCTCTGTCTAGTTAGCGGTTGCGCGAAAGCTAGCGGAAAAATAGAAGCGGTAATTACTATAACTTGAGAATTATTGAAATCCATCAGTTCATCTGCTCTTTAAATAAATATTGTACCACCTATTTATAGAAATGTATGACTCGCTTATTTTTAGTGCTAATTGTTTCCTTCTTTTTTTTTTCTTTTCTAAATGATGGGAAATGTTTTGTTGTTTTGGTATTGGCATTGACGCGAATAATTATTTATAATGGGAGAATTACTCTTTATCTTTTTGCCTTATTATTAGAATTTGTAAGATTTTTTTTTTTTTTTTAGTTTTCTTCATGTATTACAGCATGCTGATCAAACAGTTTTCCTATTGGCGATCTAAGAATTAGATTGTGATGGCGCATAATTATTCCAAGAGAACTTGATTTAATTTCTGCTTTAACTCATATGCTTTTTTTTTTTTTTTACCAATATATTTCCCCCCTTAGAATTATAATAAACATCATTATATAAACATTAAACATTGTCATATATAATTGACATTACTATCTGTGATGTAATAGACATTATATCATACATATTAGAATTTGGTTCTAATATATATTAGGATTTATAAGCTAATATTGACACTGGGAATGGATTTTTATTTTAATTAATGCATTTATTTTGTCTTATACTCTATTAGGATTATATTAGGTATTTATTCTGATATATAATTAGCTTTTTTTAAAAAAAAGATTCCTCATTTAGAAACATCATTGCTTTTTCTTTTTTGTTTTCTTCTTTTTAGGATAAACAATTTTTTTTCTTCCAATTATGATGAAACAATGATATAAGCGAAAACTTTTATATTTTTTCATAAATTTTTTAACTTTAGCTTTTTTTGTGTACATATATTATTCTAGGGTTATAAAAAACATATTTGATATAATACACATTATTTTAAATATTAAGATTTTCCTCTTATATATTATGATTATAAGCTGATATTGACACTGATCATAAATTTCATTTTTGTTTTATTTCATGAGTTTTATTCTTGTTGTATTTATATTTTTCTGTTCTTTTATTTGTTCTGTTTTATAAAAATCCTATTAGGATTTTATTTTTACCTGTTAAGATTTATAAGGATTTTTTATAGCTGATTGTTTATAGTTTAGTTAATAGTTATAGTAATAGTTTTTCTTAAAGTTCATATCAAAACTATTACTTATAATTATTAATTATAGTTTAGTTATGTTAGCTTATATGGTTTAGTTATTATAGTTATCATAGTTAATAGTTTTTTTTAGTTCATAACTCATTATTCTTACTTTCATGGTCCTTAATGGCAACGGACACGCATAATTTAAAAAAAAAAATTTATTTCTTTATTTATTTTATACGCTTGTTTTGTTAAAATAGTTTCTTTTCTTTTCTTTTTTTTTGTTCATGAAATAATATTACAATGATTACAACTACTAAGAATTTTCAGCTAATTTACAGATAATATTAAAAATATTGTTTTATCTTTTCGGTAAGTGATGAAAAAAGTTTTTGATAATATGAATCCATCGTTAGAATGAAATAGACCTGAAAATGTAAATATTCAGATAGAAGCCAGTGGCTGGTAGACTCAAATAATTTACTTACCACTTTTTCCTCAAATCTAATTAATCTGTGACTGATATCGACAGTTCCCTTTATTTTAATAGCAACTTTTTGCAAACATTTTTTTTCTTTGCTTGGATTAAAATACTTCAAAAAAAAATCATATTAGAATAATTCAGCAATAAAAATAACGTAAGTAAGTAGTTTAACGTACTGCCTTTGAAGAATTTTATTAAAACATATTTGAACCGGCAAAATAATTTAATGTATACATTACAACTCTGAAATATGCGAAAAGAACTTGTTAAAGAACTTTTCTTCCGCAAAAATCTCCTCCCCCCCCCCCATCATAAATTGATGGATTCTGAAGATCAAACTTTTGAAAGGAGACATTGGACAATATGTCATAAAAAAATAATAATAAATATTAAAATCTACAAAAATTTACTTTTCGCGTAGAATTATCGTTAGATAAACAAATATTATAGTTGTGACCAAAAAAATTTTAAATTCGCTTTAAAAGTTTTAGAGATATGGTTAAATACACAAAAAAATAAAATTAACATTATGATGTCCATATTTTGGATCGCTCATCTGACCAAACTATGGGGACAAAAATCCAAATCTGTAGAAAAAAAAGGTATGTTTATTCAGAGAAAGTAAGTTTTTGTGTCTGATTCCGTAACTTAAAATATCGTCTGCACAAATTAATTAGCATGTTTGAGGTCACCCCCTCGCACCAGTAGCATTGAGTACATGAAGATCCAGTTATTAAATTAAAAGTTATTCAGGGAGACTCATTTTTTTTTTTTGTTGATGCATTGTGCTTTTATTATTAAACGGTTTTCAAAGGAAAGAAAAAGAAATAAGAAACTATGGGAAAGAGTTGCCGTTTGTTTATTTAATTTAAGTACTAGTAGCCACTTTTCTTATAGCGAGTGGCTTGTGGTCATTTTCAAGCCTGTTATGAAAATGCTGATTTTTTATATTAAAAATAACATATGTTTTAAGAAGTCTTTAAATTTTTTTTCCTGCTTTGAAACTAATCCACTTTTTTAGAATGTAAAATTTATAAATATTTCAAAAAGAAGACTGAAGTTATGTTAAAATATCCTGTATTTTCTCCTACAAAAGAAAAAAAAAATAAAATGAAAAAAAAAATTATATTAAATTTTTTTTGATTGTTAAAAAGCTTTATAACCAGTAAAATAAAAAAAAACTGAGGACAGCCAAACTATTCTTCATATTAAAACATAAAATGGTTTTTATATCAATTTAGTTCTCATGTTAACTTTTACACAGGATACGATAGATAAAAAGGCAATTATTATTAATATTTTTTACAAGCTGCCTTACACTTGTTTCCAAAATTTTTTTTATTTTAGAATCATTTAAAAGCAGATCGTTTTTAGATACAAACATCCGTAGAGTTGTTCAAAATGTAATTGATTACAGTAATTAAGATAATATTTAATAATGATTAAAATCGGAAGTCGGTACTTTGAACTAATAGCAAATTTGCTGCAATCTAATATGGTTCTATATTTAACCATGTGCCCATTCAAATTGAACTTTTAGTATCGTGTACACCATATTAAGAAGACTCTATGCCGCAGGAAAAATCCTTTATGCCAAATTCTCTTTTAATTGTATTAGTAATTTTTACAAATAAAAACTATTAAGTTTGAAATGTATAAAAAAAAATGCAAACAAATTATGGCAAGATTACTTGAAATTTGCTGTAGGGAAGTTATCTTGCAGTCATTTGTTTGCATTTTCATATTATTAAAGCATTTTTTCAGCATTTTAAACAGTTTAAACTGAACTCATTTTTCACGAAATTTTAAAATATCAAAGGAAATAAAACAGAATTCGCCACGAAAAGTTCTGCCACCAAATTTCTCAAAGTGTCTATTCCCTTAAAAATAGTAAAATGGAACTGGCTTTTAAGAATACTTTTTCTCTAATATTCGAATTTAGAAATTTTTTCCCCCCTATTTACAAAGTCTGGGGCTTATATAACTTGCCAAAAGCCTGTCAAAGCAGTTTTTTTTTTATCAATACTCATAACAATAACTATACAACAACAATAATACAATAACAATACAATAATGCAAAAAAAAAAAAAATACAAAAATACAAAAACTAAATATTGTATTATATAACTAAATATTGTATTAAGTAAATAAGTATTGTATTATATAACTAAATATTGTATTAAGTAACTAAGTATTGTATTATATAACGAAATATTGTAATCTACCAATACAAAGTAATTACAATAATACAAAATAAATAAGATAACAATAACAATAACTTTTTGGACGAATTTCATGCGTTTTAAGGATTCCAGAAAAATAAGGTTTTTCAAAGAAATAGTATCAGGCAGTAGCATGCTGAAACAAGCTAACTCACAGTAACTTTTGTGTGGGGGTGGTCGCAAAGCTCTAGGAGGCCTTGGTGGTCGCCTTAGTTCTATCTAAAGAATACATAAATCATATGGTCATTTTAAGCAATGACAGCTCTTCGTGTCATCATTTTGATTGAGATGACAGGATCGAGTTAGTTGTGGTAAAGTTGTGGTTTGTTGTTGAATGGTTGTGGTAACATCCTTTAATACTTAATTGCGGAATGTTTTTTTCCATTTAATTAATTAATTATTTATTATTATTTTAAAGATCAGAGGCAATTATATGCAAAATTGAGTTTTTCTCAATGATTGATTAAAATTATCATGCTGTTTTCGCAGTCTAAAAATTATTTCTAAAAATTATTATGCTGCTAGATCTAAAAACTATAACTATACAGAACTTTTAATAAAATTTTATTCACGGTAAATTAATTATTTCTTTTACAAAATGGTTTTAAAAGCTATTTCTGTGCACATGAAATCATTTATAAATATTTACATTGAAGACATTTGACTTATTTCAATGTTGTTTATCATAATGATTTTAACTTTAGTTATCATAATATTTGAAGTAATAACATTAAAAAGATAACTTAGCAATTTGCATTTTCAGGTTTTTAATAGAGTACAGTAAAATGTTGCGTTTAAAAAAGGCATAATTTATATTTTTATTAGAAGATGCACAGTAAATTATTCAAATTAAAGTAAAAAGTATGGGCACTTATGGTACCAGTGCCTTTCAATATAAAATTTTCTGGAACAAAAAACCTGACATATCGTAATTTTTACAATTGTATTTACTGTTAAAGTGCTGAAACTTAGTAATTAAATAAATATAACTGAAAAAAATACTGTAAAAATGGTAAAATATACGGTAAAATATATTTTTTAGATATTGCATTCAGGGTGCCAGTTCTTTTAAT